TTTTTTTTTTTTTTTTTTTTTTTTTTTTTTTTTTTTTTTTTTTTTTTTCTGTAGATCTCGTGGAAACAGAGCTTAAGAAAATGGCTTATGTTGGGGTTTTTTTTGTAGTGGGGTGGGGAGCTTTCAACGTGGGGTTTTCAAATAACAGTGATCCTGAACCGGGAAGGTGCCGTCGGACCGACGGGAAGAAATGGCGGTGCTCAAGAGACGCAGTTGCTGACCAGAAGTACTGTGAACGGCATATGAACAGAGGCCGCCATCGTTCAAGAAAGCCTGTGGAAGGCCAAGCCGGCCACTCCCACTCCGTCGCCGGAGCCTCCAATATTACCACCGCTGCCACCACCACCACCGCCTCTAAACTGATTTCTTCTTCTCCCCCTTCCATGACGGCGGTACCCAGCAACGCCTCCCCCAACACCATCTCTTGTGCTGGAACTCATCACTTCAAGAACCTGAACCGCGGTGGATCTCATCCGCCTCCCTCCTCTGCCACCGCCCCTCAAATCAACAGGTAGTAAACTTCATCGCCGCCCTGTTCTGTTCATGATCCCCAATAACCAAACAAATCAAGCACTGAATCTTTTATTTCGGTTCAATTTTTGTGTTGCAGAATGCTCATAACGAACAAAGAGAATGGGGGCGTTGGGTTGCATGATTCATCTTCCATGAACATGAAACAATTCAAACAGCTTCCATTTGCCATTCACAAACAGAACCCTTTTGAAGAATCTCCAAGAACAGAGTTTACGTCTGTCTCTTCCAATTTCCTCCTCAACCCTTCACAAAAGGCTTCATCTTTGATGACTTACAGAGCTTTCAATCCTTCAGAGGGCCTCACTACTTCTCAACCAGCAGCTGAAACCCAACACTCACTCAATTGGCCTAAGAACCAATCCGATAGCTCATCGGTGTCGTGGTCGAACTGGAATCCTGATCTCCAATCCGATAGGACTCAGCTATCCATATCAATCCCAATGGCTACATCAGATTTCAGATCCTCGACGTCGTCTCCCGTTCACGAGAAACTCACTCTCTCACCGTTGAGATCTTTGCAGGAGTTCGACCCAATTCAAATGGGATTGGGAGTGGGGAATAATGTAATGGATGAGGCAAACAACAGACAGGCAAATTGGATTCCCATCTCGTGGGAGAGCTCAATGGGTGGTCCGCTTGGAGAGGTTCTTCATAGCACGAACAACAACAGCGGGGAATCGAAGAACTCGTCGATACTAAACCTGATGACCGAAGGGTGGGACATCAGTTCGTCGCCCACCGGGGTTCTGCAGAAGACTGTGTTCGGGTCTTTCTCGAACAGCAGCACAGGGAGTAGCCCAAGAACAGATAACAACAAGACTCACGAAGTAGGAGGAGGAGGCAGCCAATGCAGCGATCGTTTGGGGTCAACTTTCGTGAATTCTTCATCATCTTTGCCTAGTGGTTAAGAAACAGGTCGAAGAAGAATTTGAATTATATGTTTGTATGTGCTGACCTTCCATAAATAGTTTGTCAGAAGAGTTCATTTTGTGTATCTGAAATTTGGTGTCTTTTATTTCTCCCAAGGTCGAGGCCTATGTTGTAACGAATGATTTAAGCTTGACATGAACGATTTTGTTTGTGAAATGATTCGAATCTCAAGGTAAGCCAAAACTTACTTCCCTTGTTGTGATTCTCGACGAGATCATATCCGAATGAGAGCAATCTTGAGATTAGAATGGATTAAGAAAGACTCCAAAGAATTGATAAGATGTACTTCTTTCTCAGCGACTTAATCATAGGAACTCCAAAGTTAAGCGTGTTTTGCTTAAAGTAGTTCCTATGTTTGGTAGAAAGTAACCTGACCATGTCGCACAAGATGTATAATAATGTTGGTCGTATTTTGGGAATGAGTCACGAATAAAGTTATTAGTACCACGATGAATATTAAGAGAATACGAAGACGTGGAGGGATAATATGAACCGTTGAAGTCCATCCACAGCATCGTTTGTGGTTATTTCAATTTCATAAAAAATCCATTTTATTTTAAATATGAAAATAAAAATTTAAACCTATAAGAGCCATAATATGCATATATTGATTTTTTATTTTTTATTTTTTCAAATTATATATATTAAAATAACAAATATTATTTGAGGAGCATATTTTTCAGAATTAAATATTATAAGAAGCTTTTTTAATATATATTGAGGATTATTTCCATCCTCTATTATAGCTGAATTTTATTGTAAAATACAAGAAAATAATTAATTCCAGAAAAAAAAAACCCATTAAATAGATTTCAAAAAATAAAATAAAATAGAAAAACCCCATCAATTTTCGTGATCCATAGGATAATGCTGCCTTTGAGGCAGGCTCCGGCCGGAGTCGAACCGGCGACCAAGTTTTCCCTTACCACTCTTCCCTCTCTCAAGTTCTCTAACCCTAATCCTTTTCGACGCTCTAAATTTATTCCCAGAAGGAATGCTGCGAAGCCGCTTATCATAGCCCTCTCAAAAGCGGAAGGAGCCGTCGATTCGACGAAACAGGCTCTTTCCAACTCTCCAAGTCTGCCTTCTTCTCCCTCCGACCAGACGGTTTTCGTCGGCGATGAGAGTGTTCCGTTGGAAGGCGTCATTCAGTTTGATAAGCCCGATAGGTCTTCTCGATGGAGAAAATGGAGGTAATTTGGGCGTTTTTATTATTTTTTCTTGTTTCAGCTGTGAATTTAGTATATTGTTCTGTGATTATGTGTTTCTTCAGTCATGCGGCTCTGCTTGCTGGTGGAGATGTATTGGCTTTGCTTTTGTTCTCCTCAATAGGAAGATTTAGCCATGGTTTCCCTGTTTTTGATTTCGAGACTTTGCGCACAGCGGATCCTTTTATTGCTGGTATGTTTTTTTTTTTCTGCGCCATAATTTGTAGTTGAATGTTTGTTGGTGTTTCTTTTTTGCTGGATGAATCATTGAAAGTGGATTGTTATAGGTTGGTTTCTGAGTGCTTACTTTCTCGGAGGTTATGGAGAGGATGGGCGTGGTTTAAATGGTTATTCCAAGGCTGTTTTTGCAGCTTCTAAATCATGGGCTTTGGGAATTCCTGTAAGTTTATGGCCTTCTTGTGTTTGTCCTTCAGTGCTTCTTAGTTTTGATATCATTTGATCCTGAAAAGTAATGGTTTCCTCCGTTGAACTAAGACTGCGATCTCAAAAGAATTCTTGTTCTATTAGTTATGATATTATTTTGATATGAGTATCACGGTCATGTTTGTCCAAGGCGTATTGTTTGTGGCCGTTCAAAGCCTTGCTTTGTATCACTTTATCACTTTCCTTTAATGCATTCATGATGTATAATTTTCTTCTTGTCTTTTATAAGCGTATGACGATTTGGCAGAATCATGTCTACACCTGGTAGGCATCAAATGCTTTAGAATTTATTATAAGAGGATACAATCAGTCGTGAACTCCTCCCATCTAGATTTTAGATGATCGTTAGGCAAAATTACGTCTAGGCCTTCTATACCTGAATTGCCCAAAAAAAATTACGTATTGGCTAGTGTTAAATTTTTCCTAATCGAAAAGTTATATGCTATTTAAGCCGTTGTGTTGCCTTTTGCTTGTAGTCATATAACATTGTTTTTATCCTTTCTCTCAATCTTGCTTTCAAACTTTCTATCAAAATCTCTCTACCCGTGGTCTAAAACTTCTTCTCAAAATGGGACCACAGTCTTGAGCATACGTTGTCCGGCCATAGGCAACGCGGTCCTAAATTGGTTTGACTCACTTCGGCTGAGAGTGAGTGCTGCAAAATCGCCAAATCCGCTACCAGAAAAAGTGCGATTGTGACACCGAGAATCCCTTTTTTGAGTTGATTTATTCTTAACTCATTATAGATAACAGTATCGAGATGATTGTATCTTGACCATCGTATGGGTTCTGAAGTCTATGCCGTTATATATTGTTCTTTAATCTTTTACTGTACAAAAAGATCACTCTTCTTTGTCTTTTGCAGCTTGGTCTAATAATAAGAGCTGCAACGTCTGGCCATATTCCACCAAATAATTTCATAGGGGTAACGATGGGAAGCACGGCTGTCTTGCTCGTTGGATGGAGAGCGATACGATATAAAGTTTTTCCAGTCGATAACGGGAAGAAGAACGATGTATATCGTCGTGGCAACCCATTTGAGCTATTTGAGGTTCAGAAACTTCTTCACTATCAACATCCAAAATGTGCCATATGCTTATTTATGCCATTCCTTTCCATGAATGCTTCCTCGCAAACTGGTTTTCATTTTCATTTTCTTCACTGTTTTCTCATCCATGGGCTTTACTTTTGGTTGATCCTAACAGACAAATTGTCTGTATAAATGTGGTGCAGTTGTTGACATCATTGGTGAGAAGATGGTGACGATGGACAAACACCCTCCATTTGCTGTGTTATCTTAAATGGGCTTGGGTCTCGTCTCTAGACCTTACGTCTCATGTTGTGTCGTTAGGCGTTTTTGACGGGCTTTATGTGTGAGGTCGATCTCCAAGTTTTGGCCTGCTCCATTTGGTCAAACAGGCCCAACATAATCCATTGCGCTGGTCCAAGACATGTTGCTTGAGACCGCGTGTTGGATGTCTTAGTCATGCTTGTCTAGGACGTGTTGTCTATGGCCACATGCTCGGTTCAAACCCCTTGCTTTCATGTATAGTTAGGTATTTACTGTTCATGCCGTGTCAATACGGGAGTGTGCAATCATTCACCAAAATTATATTTACATTTACAGTAGGATATGACTAGTCGTCAATTCTTCTTACTTGAGTTAGCTTTGGTTGTTGATTATTTGCTTTTAGCCTGTAACATTGCTTTTTTATATATGCGCACCGTACATCAGATGGGTATGATCAGCGGACCGTGCCCCTCAATGTCTATGTGGTGTGCACAGCTCTCCACCCTTCTGATATCCTCTGCACCTGACCCCCACACACACAGATTTCTTTTGTAAAGTTTCTCAAAATGGAGAGTTTTTGGGTTCCTCCGGGAGAAACCACTTCACTGACCGAACGAATATGACCCATTTCCATAAACCCACAAAAATAGAACAAGCAAGACAGCTTCATTTAGTAAAATCTTTTGCTTATTCTTTGGTCTTAAACCCGAAAAGTGGAGTTTTTATGGCTTTCTTTTTCATCATGTTCCTGCCACTGCTAGCTTATCCCCACGCCATTCAACAAAAACCCATAACTTCCATAAAAACTAAGCCTTTCTCCCTGCCTCTCTTCCATTTACAAGCAATCAAAATGGGCATTTGTTGTGTATATATATATTCATACTGTTTGAGCGTGGATGTCAATTTAGGGGAATGGTATTGGTGGTGTCATAATAGTTATTCAAAAGTTCAAAGAAAAAGCATCACATGCTTATACTTTGATAAAAGAATTGGATGTTGTGTTAGCCCGTTTGAATGGATAAATGAAATGGTGAAGATTAAGGGGCCGCTTAGTTTGTGGGGAAAGAGGGTGGAAATAGACATGAATTTCTTAAACATCTTCGTTTGTTTTAAATTTTGAAATATGATGTTTCGTAAAAATTTTGTCCTCCCTCGCATGCATGTTAGCATTTTTAGTCATTCTATTTTTAGAACCGCTCTTATTCAAATGTGTTTTTAGTTTATTCATGTACTCTTCCTTTACATAGGTATCACATGCTCATCAATTTCATTCTTAGTTTGTCTCTAAAGGTTAGTCTCTGAACCACATCTTACTGGAAGAGGTACTGTTTTACCATTTGTAACGACTCATGTCCATAATTCATATTTGGATTCGGAATCCAAATTCGACATTTAATGGCTATGACATTCTTCTGCATCTCCATGTGACATGGTGACGTTACTTACTCATCGCTTTTATGAGTGAAGACTATCCTCACATACCAACACAAGTCCTTCCAACATGTTTTGTTCTCACTTACATGCATCTTAGGAAAACGTCCAAGAAGTCGTCCAACATAGAATTGTTTCGAGGAAAACACGTTTAACCATGGAATTTCTATGATTGAGTAATCGAAAATAAAGGTACACCTTATTGGTATAGGTAGTAACTCTCATTTTTTGAGGTCTTTCTTAGTCATCCTATCCTTAAAACCGCTCTCATTCAAACGTAGTCGTGATTCATTCATATAAGTTCCTTCATATAAGTTCCTTTAGTAACCATTTGAATTTATAAAAGTGAGTTTTCCACCGCTATAAAACAAGTCAAACCTGATTGTAGGGGCGGATGTTTTTGTGGTATGTTAATGTAAAGAATGGCAAGAAAATGAAAAGAGGGAAGGATGTTTGAATGGTGTGTGTTTGTGGGGCATTGTGATGTCCAATTGCACATCACATCTCTGCTTAAGACAAACCCTAAACCACACACTGCCCAATCTTATCCTATAACCTTATTTATATTTTATTTTATGCTTTCCTTCCCATCCTCTTGATGAAACTTTGTGATTCTTGACTCATTTGATTTAGCTTCGTGATATGATATCTGTAGCGAGCTATTGAATAATTGAAAGATCCTATTCTCATGATCCTTACCGTTCGAATATAGTCTTGATTCATTAATGTAGTCATTCTTTACTCAGGTGTCACAATTTTTGTTTAGTTTTCAATATAATTTTTTATGGTTTGTATCGTTTCTATAAATTTAGAATCTATTTAAGAGCTTGGAGAAATTTGAAGCTTGTATCGAACCAATGATCAAAGATGCTTTCAAACCAAGTAAGTAGAATCTCAAATGCTTGTAAGACTATTGGAGCATGTTACATGAATTATTATTTGAAAGATTTGGAATGAAATGAGTTAGTATTGCTAATGAAAAGTATGTAGATTATTGTATGCTCGATTCTGCCAAATTGAACATGAAATTGAATGAAATCAAAAGCATAAATAGGTATCTATGATTAGATTATCTTACTATATCCCTATTGATTTCATACCTGATTTGTTTGTTTTGTTATACCGAGACGATTAGATGTTCACTAACTGACCCTTAATCATGAATTCACCTCAACTATTGAGGGTTTGTATAACTTTATCAGTAGTCGGCTACGCTATGATTACTTATAATTTGTGGAGGGACTATTAGGGTTTTCTCGGTTAATTCCTAATAGTAAACTTACCCCAATCAATAGAGGTCTTTAGTAGTACCCTTATGATTATTCGTTGGTAGAGATAAAGTTTGGCCATGAAATATATGAACCTAAAAAGAATGTTAAGAGAGTGACCGAATTAGAGCCTTATGTGAAAGTTGTAGTGTACAATTACAAGATCTTAAACCACTCCCTAATTATCATCTTGTTCGGAGGAGAGTAAAGCACCACATAGGTAGATAAGTTTTGGCGGGTTGCCCATCAATTTTTACTTTATGGGACCTTCTAGAAAGACACTAACTAAACCCTATTAGCGAATCTGAGGACAATGTTCATAACAGTATGATAAGAACTATAAGTTCGAATCTACGGCAGAGGTTAAGCCTCAAGCACCTCAAGCACCTATGATATGTAGGTTGACAATGAAAAGCGGTTACATGAGTAGCAAAGTAAATCGGTTGTGAGAAGACCTCAACCTAACTCGTATACACATTTCAAAAAGCGAGCCTAACCCATATATCGTCCTTGAATAATTTGGGTACAAAGACTTTTGAGGATAAGGTGTATCTATGATTGTTAATTAAGACAAAGATTTCCAGTTTTTGAATCATTACAATTAAGCTTTAATAAATAAGAGCCAAAAAGCAAACATAATGATATTTGGGGGGTCGACTTTGTTTCATCACTTACTTTTTTAGTTAATTTCCACAATGAACCTATGTTGTATAGTACGAAAGTAGGGCTCAAAAAGCTCTGCATTCCTCCATTACCACCTCTTTTGCTTTCCCAGTTATGTCAAATATAATAAAAAACAGTACTGTTTTTGGAAAAGATTAAGAAAACAAAACCAAGTAAGGTGGAGAGTGCGTAGGCTGAAATGAGAGATACACTTGTAAACACTTTATGATATTGTCAACGTTGAGCGTAAGCTCTCGTGACTTTGCTTTAAACTTTCTCAAAAGACTTCATACCAATGTTGAAGGGAAACCCAAAAAGGAAACCTAAAAGAGGACAATATCTACTAGCGGTAAACTTAGACTATTACAAATGGTATAAGAGCCAGACACCGGGCGATATGCCAGCAAGAAGACTGGGCCTCGAAGGGGAATGGGCATGAGACGGTGTGCCAGAAAGGACCTTGAAGGAGGATGGATCGGGGGATCCCACCTCGATTGGAGAAGGGGACGAGTGCTAGTGAGAACGCTGGGTCTCGAAAAGGGGTGGATTGTGACATCCTAATATCTAGTTGTCTTAGCTTGCTGTGTTAGGAATCACGACTCTCCACAATGATATGATATTGTCCCCTTTGAGCATAAGTGCTCATGGCTTTGCTGTGGACTTCCCGAAAAGGCCGCATTACCAATGGAGATGTATTCCTTTACTTATAAACTTATGATAATTCCCTAAATTAGTCAACGTGGGATTTCCTCCCAATAATCCTCAACAATTAGCCACCACTCATGGTTGTAGGAGGAACTTCTCGTCTCTAAACCACGTAAAACTCTGTGTCTCTTTGTTTAATTTCTATTTGTGGGTATGTGAGTGCGATCGATCTTACTTCCAATTTAGTTAAAACAATTGGGTATCAGAACATTTGGTTGTGGTGTTAGAGTACAACAAGCGGTATCAGAGTACGAAGATACGAGTGGGAGGTTGAAAAATGATGATGAAAAGCAGAGAAGAAAAAGAAAAAGGAAGCAGCAGCAGCAGCAAGCACCAAGTATTGTTTGTGACTGAAAAGGTTAATGAAAATGAAAGGGAATAGAAAGAAAGAAAGAAAGAGAAGTGGGAGTAGTCAAACCCCTTTGCCCGACGCATCCAAGAAAAGCTACTCCTGGTGGGGCGTTGCCTTGCATTGCATTGCATTATCCTCTCACCATTCTATTCCTGCCTCATCATTACTGCATAATCACAAATCATTATGGTTTGAATTTCACCATATTATTTGCATGCAACCAACATTCATTGTCAACCTACTATGGGTTAGGCTCACAAACAACCTTAATCAATCAAATTTATAAAACAGAGAAAGAAAAGCTGTGGAAAAATCTGTAATTTTTTTATTACCATTGTCCCTATCATTCACATCCTAAAAGCAGGCAGTAAAGTAAAAGAGATTTTGACTGCTTAGCAAAAGAAGGAATGTTTGAAACAATATCTTTTTTACTCATCAAAAATACACAAATCCTATACTTTTACCCATTTCAAATCAATTTGAATTTACACCGAATATAGTTTAATTTTTTAGGAGGGTTTGTGTAACAACCCAAATCCACCGTCAGCCAATATTGTCTTATTTAGTCTTTAAAACGCATATGCTAGGAGAAGGTTTCCACATCCTTGTCAGAGTATTTTGGTCTCCTCCCCAGCCAATGTGGGACATCACAGTTTGTGAGCCGTTAACTTAATTGTTTGTGTTCTAAAATTTCCAAACCAAACAATTCTAATTAAATAACGAACTCAACTCAATCTAACTATAAAATTTTGGTTAGATTTGAATCTGATTGTTTGGGTCATTTTTAATAAAAGTAAAGGGTTAGTATTACCTTTCAAACGGTTAAAAATTATTTTAAAAAGTTTTGGAGTATATAAATTTAGATGGATTCAATTTAACCCAATTACTTTTAAGAGAATTCATGAATCAATATGATTCACCA